TCGGAATAGTTGTCAGCCATTTCTATCTGGATCTACTGGCTATACTCCAGCCACTGGTGTTGTTTCTCATCCTCTTGAACCTAAGTGCAAGATGGATCCTGATGGTCAAAGATCTCTTGAACAGTTAAAACCAGTGTCAATTACTATCATCATACCGTTGGGCAATGAGGCTGTTCAATTGCGATGATTTGTGTGGTGTTAAGTACCGGTGTGGCGGTCTCAGCTGTCTCCCGGTCTCAGCGGTCCCCCTTACCAAATATGGTAAAAATACGTCATGCCATCTCTGCGCACAACAAGGGAAAGTCGTCGGTTAATTGGTATGATGAGCAGTCCACGCATGCTTCACGTTGTACGTGACGTGTACTTTACATAGGCCTACACCAAAGACAATAGCACCGCTTATAGTACCGTGCTTGTGTCGTGCTGAAATGTGCGGCTACGTCAGGGGGGACTGCTGAGACCGGGAGACAGCTTAGACCGCCACACCGGTCGGCTAGCTCCTACNTTGGGTGCTGATTTTACACTGTTTTCAATGGGGCTTGAATTAGTGGACTGGACCCCTACGCTTCATCCTGTGCATTAGCGTGAAAGAACGCGCATGCGTAGTTGCTGTCATCCACTGCCTTAAAATCAGACCTGCCGACGTGTCGTACCGGTACTCCCTCATGTACTTCCTGAGGTCAGGCATTACCAAACAGTGATTAAAAGGTATTTAAATGAGCCCCCAGTTCATTTAAAATGCTAATCTATCATGTGGTGATGCCTGACCAGGAAGGAGTACGACAGGTTGGCAGGGATGCTTAATTTCCAAACTAACAGTACTGCAACAGTACAAAGCTGGGTTACCATGTGATGGAATTGTCATTTCGTTCTGGCCTCGGTGCTGAAATGCTCCGATCGACAAAACAGCCACAGTGAGATTTGGTTGTCTTTTTGTTTCCCTTTTGTAACTCTCTCGGGTGCAGTAAGTGACACATGTTCCTCCAAAGTCCCCTGAGTCTTGCAAGTGTGTAGTCATAGCAATTAAGTTCTCATTTGGTCCAAGGACGAGACCTGATCTCTCATAAGAGCACTTTACATTTCATGAGTGCTATTTCATGTCTCTTGATCTTTTCTTCGAGACTACTTTGTGGAAGGATCAAAAAAGCTTTAGTTGTATCATCTCTTATGAGCGTTGCGAATGGAAAATTCTGAGATGGAAGTATTACTTCGAACGTAGACCTGCTAGAGCTAAAGTAAACTGATAGGCCTAGTTTTCCCTTAAAAGGGCATTTTTACTGCCTTTAATGTCATCTTTGCAGTCTAGTATGTCCTTTGAATTGGTGCATTCTGATAAGGCCCACTTGCACCCAAATTGACTATGAAAACTCCACTTTTAGCCACAATAAATCTCTTCAGTAGGCTCATAATACTGAACAAATATCCGTTATTTATTTAAAAGGGAAAAATGGATTGTGGTCAACGGCGAAATATGTACTGATATTGACATTACTGTTGTGCCTCTAAACTTATCCTATTACACTAGAAACCCCACGTTTGCAATCGAGGATCCCAACGGACTTTTTCTACATAGTATCAACGCATGTTTAATTTCCAGAAGTTAAAAAGAAACGTTGTGATTTTAACGAATGTTTTGTGACGAATTGAGAATATTGGAGAGATGGAAGGAATTCACATCCTTATGATTGTGGGAGGCCGGGATGCCAAACCTTTGGAAATACTTCTTGGTCCAGAGATGTCTACAGTAGAGCCTGACAGTAAAAGTCACACAGCGAGCTTCCGGAACCCTCTCACGGTCTGCTTGTGAAGGTTTGCCACTCTATCACGTCTTCTAAGTTCTGGAAGAATGATTGCTAACTAAAATCACTCCAAGAATCAAACGTGTCGGACTTCATTTAATATTTCTCAGGTACCTGTATCAGGATAAAGACAAGAAGCATAAAACAGGACATGGAAAATTACAAAATACATAATACAAACTGGTAACACCCCTGAAGGATTGCCAAGAAGCGAACTTAATCACTCTCATGAGACTCTCCTAAGACGCTATCAGAAAAAGAAAATAACAGATGGATAATAATGGGAATAAACAGGCCACTGATAATCAGCTGCTCATATTAAAAAAATAAAAACCAATACAGGTATAAATAATAAACTTATTCCTCATTTAGTAATAGGATGTATGTACACTGCGCTAATTACATAAAAATACACGGATTACAATAAAATTCTAACAACCCTAAATACTTCCACTCGTAAAATCTCGTCAATTGGTCAAATCAGGATGATTCAAAATTAAACCCCAGTGACACCTACAAAACGTTTCCCCCCTTTAACAAAGAGGTACAACCCCGACTAATCAAAAATTGAAAACACACACCTATTCACAGGATTAAACACATATAGGAACCCACTCCCTAAAAACAATCTAACAGAGATTGCATCTCAAAAATTAACCATTCACATAATATATATATTACTTATTATATATAATTAATAAACTCGGCCCTTAAGGCGTCAAGACTGAGAGCAGGATATCCCAGGAAATCGCGAGGTGTCTTCTTTGGCGGGAAACGTGTGTCTCACCGCAAAATTCAAATCACCATGGACTGTTGTGTTCCGACTATTACGGGCTGTTTTGTCTGGAATTTACTTTCATTCACTCCAGGGGGTATAGCAAAAACAACGTACACAAAAGACACCAGCGCCTCTACGAAGTGTTTTAGTAAGCCTCTTCCACATGTTTAACCCTCTAATTATGATTTAGTTTTGCTATTAGTGACCATTAACTATTATCATGTGCCTTTACACGGTCATGTTCCAGCCGCGCGCATCATACGCACGTGCACGCGTGTCGTGGTTGTGATTGGTCAGAACACAATCAAGCATGGCTTAATGGATTGGTCTATCCGCCTCGAGCAGAAGCACCCCTTGATCTAAATGATTGAAAGGACCCGCGTTGGTCGGCATTACTCATTTTGTAGGTAGCATTGCGACTATAATGCATGCATTTCCTAGCGTTTGTGAACCAGCGACGCGCAGTTACCACCCAAAGGGCCCATGTTGCTTAAAGAAATAGCGCCCTCTCTTGATCCAGCTCAAGGCCCATTACAAATAAGAAGACTGTTTCTAGTCCCGCATCAGTTGAGAGAGTCGCGTTGTTTGGAAATGTTCAACAACTTGGTCGAGATGCGACCGTGCATGACACAAACATTTCCTAGTTGTTTGTGAACTAGCAAAGTTCCAACCGAAGGAGCCTCAGCTCGGGGCCCTGTGCTGAATGGTTAGTATCCGACAAAAGTTTAAAAAATGTTAATTTTGTCCGAATACGCACTTTCCATTATTTTCACAAACTGCGTACAAGGGTACGCATTTTCATTGCGCACTGCAGACACCTCAAAATAGACGTTCGCGCTGCGTCACGTATGTTTCACTCCCATTCAACGTGTGGAAATAAACGACTTCGACCGGTTCACGGTTCTTGTTTTGAATTCGTTTGCACAAAGTTAACAACCGATCACATTGAAACTCTTTTTATACGCTCTAGAAGGTTTAAACCGAATAAAACACTACAGAATCATGAAAGAAAGCTACATAACTATGAAATGTAGCCTCAAAGTTGTTGCTAAGATGATAAAGTATTTCCTTTTTCAATCGATCACTTGGTCGTTTTTCCCACTAAATTTCTCAATGTTAGAAGTTTTCCCAGAACAGTGAGATGCTGCATACGACAGGCAGGAACTACACAATACAATTAGTTCTATGTAGCCAGATTTTTTGTTCGACTTTCAAGAGTTATATTTGATACTTCTGCGCAGCGCGATCTAACGTGTTTTACATGCACAAAACCGATCCAGCTACGTACCGCGCAGGGTATACTGCGGCCGGGTACCGTGTACATGCTCATGTGGTTCATGCGTGTATATTAAAACTGGGGATATATACCGTGAATTTCAACAATTTCCTGGCAATTTTATAATGACAGGTAGACCTCGGTTTCAATAATAAACTTCAAGTTAACTTACTGTACTTTTGTGTTTGTCCTTCGTTACCGAGTCACTGAATTCTTACGCTTTCAAGGACGTAAGATTATATGGGATGAACGGAATCGGTGCTGAGTTAGGTCGATATGCAAACGCGTCTGGTCGGGAAGAGAAAAAAATCTAGCGCAAAACCGTCAGCAAATCTAAAACTTTCACCAGTTCTCCACCGCAGCCCACTCTGAAAACCTCAGGAAAACTTCAAATTCTTAGTTTCGAGCCTTCGAAAATCGCATCAAAAAGTAAACAAATTACCGCTTACGAAAAGGGTTTTTCACAAAAATCACTGGTTTTGACCACTGGTACTATTTCTCAATTTTATTTTCACAAAACAAGTTTGGGAAAGGCCTTATCTCA